CTCCCTCTCTCCCTCCCTTCCCTCTCTTTTTTCTTTCTTTTTTTGGTGCGCGGTGGTGGTGGTGGGGGGTGCTAGGTGGCTTATCACAGAAGCCTTCGGCGTCTCATTCTGTTATGAGTCTAAAGTCATCAATACCTCTGCAAAAGAAGTTTCCTTCCCTATAGCAGCTGGCAGCCGCCCAGAATGTGAACTTCAGCATGGTTTTCTGGAGGCAGCATGGATTACTGACGTCAACATGGCCTCCAGCAGCAGCACAGAACACAGACCTCAACATGGCCTCCAGAAACACAGACCACAGGACTTCAACAGGGTTTCTGGTGACAGCACAGATCGCGGACATGTACCGGCCTCCGGCCGTAACACAAATCACAGACATCAACATGGCCTCTGGTGGCAGCATGGACCATCTCCTAGGAGGTGTTTTGAGGAGATTGATCCAGAAAATGAACTGTTCGTCATCTCGGCATAACTTTTTGTTGCTCAGAATCAGGGCCCTTGGCGCCCTGCCAGTACCCCAGGCACCACCACAGTGTTTGCAGCCTACAGGCAGCGCCAAGGCCCATGCTCTGCTCTGGCTAGCAGGGAGGGCAGCATAAGCTGCAGCAGCGGCTGCGGCTTCATAACGGATCCAGGGGGCCCGAGGCTCCTGCCATCCGGTGGACAAGCCCCACTCCACAACAGCATGCTTCTTTGTCTGCCCCCATGCTCCCATACCTATCACTGCTGCCTCGTCTCTGGTTGCGCTTTTCTCTACTGCCGGAGACTCTGTTCCATATCTTTTTTTAGCCAATTCCATGAAACCACTTTTTAAAAGCATCATCCAACAAGACCTGCCTTTTTTAGTTATTCCGGAGATGCAGTGCGCTCTGCGGATTCATCTTCACCTCCCCTCTAAGCTTCCGTGGGTCTCTCAGGTTCCTTAGAGGGGCTCCCATAGCCCTCGGATGCCGGTATCTGCCACCATCTTGAATCGAGTCTCAGGTGCTAGGATTAAAAGTGTGTATTGTCACATTTGGCTAATTATATATTCGTAAAGCAAGGTGAAAAATTCGAGATGCATTGTGGGCTGGGAGGATTGCTAAGTGGTTAGGAGCTTCCTTCTCTTCCAGAGGACCTAAGTTTGGTTCCTAGCACCACTGGGACCCTGGCCCCAAGGGATCTGTCACCCTCTTCAGACTTCCATGAGCCCTCCCACACATGGGGCATACATTCACACTGACACACACGCATAGGTATAAGGATATACTTGCTTGACTGTAATGTCTTGCAGAAACATAATATTGGATCAAAATGGTTGAATGAGTAAAACCACCATCTCTAAAAACTTAAGAAAATTAGTTCTCTTGGGAAGGTTGCGTCTATGCATCATATGGGTATGTAACGATCAGATCAAAAATCCCTAGTAATCTCTGAAATAGAGAAAGCAGAGAAAAACAGGCTTACAAAACAAACAAACAAACAACAAAAAACCTTTATGCTCCATCAGATTCAGGAGAGACCTGAGAGGCAAACACAGAGGTAACTTGCAAAGAACACGGAGGAGCTGTGGGGCGTCTTAGACACCATGGTAACCCAGCTTTTGTGGTTTGGATGCTGAACTATTCCTTTAGGCTCATGAGTTTGAACACTTGGTCCCCAAATGGTGGAGTGGTTTTTGGAAAGTTGTAGAATCTTTAGGAGATAGAACCTCACTGGAGAAAGTGTGCCCAATGGAGGAGGCCTCACGATCTGATAGCCCAGCCCCACTTCCTGTCAGCTTTCTGTTTGCCACCCCATGCTTCTGCCTCCATGCCTTTCTCACATGATGGACTGTACCTTTAAATCACGGGCCCAGATCAACACTTCTTTTCTTAAGTTGCTTTGGGCAGGCATTTCATTATGAGGAGAAAAGTAATTAACCCACTAACCCTGGTCACCCAGCTGGCAGATTTTTCCCTCTTTCCTCTGTGCTAAGAAGCAGACCAGCAAGGCCATGCCTCGGGTCAGAAGAGGGGTGTGCTGCCGCTGTAAGAAACAGGAAGGCACCTTCAGGGAACTGAGGCTCCAAGAGGCAAAGGAAGCTCTGACCCTTGAGATTGCTCTGCTAGCTTCCCCACCTAGCTTCAGGACTCGGTCTCACCCACAAATGCCGGGCATGAAGACCATCACGAGTCAGCAGCCGGAAACAACCCTCCATTCTCCATGTAGGAAAATGGCACACACACACAAATTAAAGAATGTTAGGAAGCAGCCAAGATTCACCATCCTGTTTCAATGACAGTCAACACCTTGTCTGGCTTGTTTTATGTTCAGCATCTGTATATTGTATCTTCAGGCTTAGTTTGACTCTGACTCTGAAACATCAAGTGTTTAAAAAGAAAATTTACCACATATACTTCTAAATAACAATGAAGCTCTAACATCATAACAGCCCATTATAGTTAGACTGTATCTTCCACAAGTGGTGACAGTAGCTTCTCCCGACTTCTGCACAACGAGCTTACCACATTCCATCAAGAACTGATTCCTTTTGAATCAGAGTGGGCCTTAGTCACTCGCTGTAATTGCATAGTGTGTGTGTGTGTGTGTGTGTGTGTATCTATGTGTACAGGCAGCTTCTGAAACAAGGTCAGAAAAGCCTCTGAACTTCTATCTTTTCTTTTGAAATGTTTTGTCTCTAGAAGTTTCCTCATAGAGTCCAGCTGTCATGCCATGGGTAGTCCAATCATCCATGGAGCCCTGCTGGTTAAGTCTTTCTACCAAAAGGCTTCAGAAAATATGAAGACTAAGGTATCTCCATGTTTCCTCCCCAAATTCCATGACCCACGGGATTTATAAACAACCCACATGGCAGGGTTTACTCTCTGTGTGGGTTTTGTTGATAGTTTTTGTGGCACCGAGGATGGAACCCAGGGCAAGCCTGTGCCACTGAACTGTAATCCCTCTCTCCACTTTTTATACAGCTTCTCACTAAGTTACTCAAGCTGAATTAGACAGAACTCACTCCGTGGCCCAAGCAGGCTTTGAACTCCTACTTTAGTCTCTGGAGTAGCTGTGATCACAGGTCTGTGCCACCACACCCAGTTATAGCTGATGTTTTACTCCACTAAATTATAGGGTGCTTTGTTTCTGGCCATGTTTACTTTTCTCTCATTGCTTCTAAAATTTATCTTTATGACTGATTGGTTTAAGTTAAAATCTAGGAAAGGGTCTCATGTTGATTTGAGCTGACATTTCTATTAAATAGCTTTTAATTCACAAGAGTATGCTGTAGTTTTAATGATGTACACCTTCCATTCTGCTTTGGGAAGCCTGTTAAATACCCACAATTGTTCACTATGCTCTTCTGTGGCTCCTGTTTGTTGGAAAGTAATGTTTAGCCCTAGAGAATGTTTGGCAAACATTTTTGCGAACAACCCTGAGACTCGATATTTTAGAATTCATCTGCCATTGTCACCCAAAACAATCACAGGTAATATGTAGATGGATACATGCAGCCACACACCGATTTGACTTTATTTTCAAGATCAGTAGAGGTCATATTTGGCCCATTGGCCCTTGTGTGCTGGTCCTGATCAAATAAAAAAACAGCAAATGATACGGTGTAGAATGGAGAATGGTCAAATATTTAAGGAAAACGAACATGAAAAGGAAACTAAACTAATGTAACCTCAGAGCCAACCCCTGTAAAGGAACTGAGTGAAACAAACAGGAGCTTCGAAGGAAGTCCCATATGCTGCTGTAGAGAATTCTAAGATTCAATACTCTCAAATGAAGACAATGCAAACAGTCAAATAAAAATCTCAGAAAGTATACGTAGTATGACTATGGCTACAACTGGAAAGTGTGGTATTTGGATGAGTCAATGTTCTGCTGCTGTGACGAGACACCATGACCCCAGCAACTCTTATAAGAAAACA